CCACTATTGTGACACGGCGATTTCAGTAAGGCGTCGGGTATAGCCACAAATCCAGCCATAAGAGCCGGCAAGGCACATATGTGTAATTTAGCATTGCTCACAATTTTAAAGGCAACGTATTATCTTCGTGAAAAAAGACGTAGAGTTAGAATCTCCTACGCGCCTCTACAAGCAGTAATCGTCTCAAGGTAGCGCGATATTTGCTGCGTATTGTGATATCTTGCTAGTCTATATATATTCTCACCTTCACGTTTAATTTATTTCTTTTGATCCCTTAACTCCCTCATTACTTCGCAAGGTAGCTAATCGGGGACGTGTCTGATTGACCTCTCTGCCCATCCTTCCTCTGATTTCCTCCTACTCACATTGGTAACCTGAAGCTTGATATTAATAGGGATCAAACAAGCAAAAGCAAATAATGGCAAACGTCAATATCTACTAAATAAAAATGCCCGTTCAAACGCATTTGGCAAAACGAGAGCGACAACGAGAGTGAATATAGGCAAGGCGGTCATCTAGGACAAAATCAAGTTTGCTAATCTGCACTAAAAGACAATAAAATAACTATTAAACCTAGAATAAAAGACTTGAAACAAACGTTCGGATGATCCCACGTACCTGGGAATCGACGTTATGCGAAGCACACGGAGGGAAGGTGGCCGTCTTGCATTGTTTTTATTGAGTGACACGTCATGAGATGGTGGTAGATATAAGTACAAATGTTGCACGCAAAGACAAATGTTGATGAGTTGCAGATGTTTAAATAATCAGTTGTTTGCATTTGCGACAATGTCAACTGGGGCATGCGTATTAGCAACACTAGAAGCTGATATGAAGTGCTGATGTTCACGAGGATGCTGGCCCTGGACACTGCTACATAAATCAATTTCAGCGCATAGCAACTAACCACAATTGACGTTAACCCGACGTGACGGCTGTGTCAAATGAGTACTTATGTAATGTTTATGAAATTGAGTAGGCAGCACTGCAACCACTATTGACGTTTCACGAACATTGGCGTCTATTTGAAGTGTAGTTCCAAGACCTGGCGTAGCTGTGGTAAAATGCTTCATTAGAACGCAGAATGCTTGGGTTTGATTAAAGCTGGCGCTGACATTTATTCTTTGCACTAGACGCGTCAACGCTACCGATGTCGGGTATTTCTTGACGCTCGCGCGTTAACATTCCCCACGTGTATTCTCGTCGTTCCTGGGTAAATACTAATTGTCAATCACCTGTGGCACATACCCGCATTCCAGTGGCATATACCCGCCCGTGAGTATGTGCCATTGCCTGGCGGGAAGTGCTTGACGACTTACGCGGTGGTATTGTGACATTATTCATGTCTTGACTAGCGCGTCATATTCATTAAACCATTTTACCCTCCCATGACAATTTTGGTTCACGCCAACTTAAGGGGGGGACCACGAGAGAACCAAGCGTAAGCCGCTGGACGGACGGACGGACGGACAGACAGACAGACAGACAGACAGACAGACAGACAGACAGACAGACAGACAGACAGACAGACAGACAGACAGACAGACAGACAGACAGACAGACAGACAGACAGACAGACAGACAGACAGACAGACAGACAGACAGACAGACAGACAGACAGACAGACAGGACAGACAGACAGACAGACAGACAGACAGATAGATAGATAGATAGATAGATAGATAGATAGATAGATAGATAGATAGATAGATAGATAGATAGATAGATAGATAGATAGATAGATAGATAGATAGATAGATAGTAGATAGATAGATAGATAGATAGATAGATAGATAGATATAGATAGATAGATAGATAGATAGATAGATAGATAGATAGATAGATATAGATAGATAGATAGATAGATAGATAGATAGATAGATAGATAGATAGATAGATAGATAGATAGATAGATAGATAGATAGATAGATAGATAGTAGATAGAGAGATAGATAGATAGATAGATAGATAGATAGATAGATAGATAGATAGATAGATAGATAGATCGATAGATAGATAGATAGATAGATAGATAGATAGATAGATAGATAGATAGATAGATAGTAGATAGATAGATAGATAGATAGATAGATTCAAAGTAACCGAAGTTTGTTAAGAAATGCTTCGCATTTAAAATAGGAAGCGGGATAAAACCACACATTTTGAACAACTCCTAGATAGGAGAAGAGAGATAGCCAGCCTTTTCAGGTGGCTATACGGTGCGTGATAGCATTCACACTTGAGCACGCACAATCATTCCCCCCTCCACATACACGCACATTATTTTTACGAAGCAACGCTTAAGCGCAAAACGAGAGAAACACCTTTTTTTTTAAATTTTTAGGTGCGCCAATAAATGCGTTCTCACAGTAACATAATTACACGCACTATACATCGGTTGTTTCTTATTTTCTCAGTTATGTTTCTTTTTTCCACATGTTTGCAATACTTATTCTTTGCGCACACTAAAATAAGTTCTTTTTAACTAATATATAATGACTATTTTTGCATTAAGGAACCCAAATTTGCAGTCTAAAAAATGTTGTTCTTGCGTTTGAGCTGTAAGCCAGTTATCAAAGTATTGTTTTGTTCTTATTCCATCTCCCACCCCCTCCATCAATTCTACCCTTGAGGAGGGTAACGAAGCGGACGTGCCTCTGCTAACCTCTCTGCTTTTCCCTGCATGTGTGCTCTCAGAACGCGATGCAACTTTCGTGCGCCGCTGTAGCTGGGAATGACATTTACAAATGCGTATTTCTGTCTCATCGGAATGCGCAGCAGCGTGACATGCAAGATTTGCGCTTGCGAACAGACGCTTGAGCATAATCTATGCCTGTCCATCATACCAAACTGAACAATGTGGTAAAACAGCCAAGCTCCATCACCTAAATACAAGACCACTGACAGAAACGAAGATCCTGGGACCATGACCTATGGTCTCGCACATGCGCAAGGCCACAAAAGCTTTCTCGTGCTTCTTGAGAAACAATGGAGTTCTCAAGCGCCGGTGAACGAGCGACGCGGGACCGTGTCGTGTAGTTTGAAGCTGACCGTTTATCCATCTCGTTCCTTCTATTCTTATCTCTTTTTCATCTTCACATTTCTATAATTCCTCCTTTCACCCACCCCAGGTAGCCAACCAAACGAAAACTTCGTTAACCTCCCTGCCATTCCTCTCCATTTCTTCCTACAGCTAATTATCGATGAGAAGGCGTGAAAGGGAAGCGAATGTGAAATTTCACTGCTGTCCTCTGAATGATAGATCCTTGTGAAGAAATCATCACTAAAATTCCTTATAGTTTTACACCAACAGATGGTACACATCGGAGGCAATCTCAAAGCGTGATGCGGAAACGGTGTCTCTGTAAAGTCGCGAAAAGTTTTCTGAATTTCGACACCCGGGTGCTGTGCGCACTGGCGCAGTCCATTGAGGAGGCGTCTTGCGGGTGCGCCCTCATTCTTCATGTTAATATTGCTATGTAACCTACGAAGGCAGCGCAATGTCTTGAAGAAGGTGACACTGAATGCCTGCGAATAAGAAAGCTTTCGAAGGTGGCTGCTCGAGGCTGTACCAGTGTTCATCCTGTCGTCGACAGCAAAGAAAGTCAATCAGTGACGCCAAAGAAAGTATTGATGCAGGCTCGTTGATTAATCACCACGCACACATCAGTTACAGCATGGTCGCGACACGCGTACAACGGATGAACCTCTCTCTTGTACGGACAAATAAGGCGGACGAAGCAACAACAGGCAGAGCGCTCTGCGTCTGTGTCTTCTTTGCCTACTTTCTTTTTTCGGCATGTTGTGACTGTGCCGTAACTACGGTGTTCTTACCAGTAAATAATTTCCTTCTTTTTTCTCAGCTGTGATTTCCTAAAACATTCGTTGATTGATATGTGGGGTTTAACGTCGCAAAACCACCATATGATTATGAGAGACGCCGTAGTGGAGGGCTCCGGAAATTTCGACCACCTGGGGTTCTTTAACGTGCACCCAAATCTGAGTACACGGGCCTACAAGTGAAACATTCGTAGTTCGTCTCTTGTGGAGAGGGGCTGCTCGCGCGAAGGCGGCGGGTAAGCGTCGATCGACCGGAAGGTCAGCCCTCGGGCGATCGCGAGCTGAGCAAAAAGGAGAAAATTATGTGGCGAAAATTGCAAACCGGGGTGTTTCCAAACCCTCACCTGTACAGTAAATGGCACCCGGAAGTGTTCAACTCCAGATGTGCGCACTGCAACAGCACTGCGGGTTTAGTGCACATAGTATGGACCTGCCCGTCCTACAATGATCCAAGTAGAAACGTAGAATCCTGGGATGCCTTATTACACAGCCGTGACGCCGAAGAACAGCGTCAAGTCATCGGTCTTGCCTTGACCACCGCCGAGTCTCAAGGGATTCCGGCCGATGGCTAGGGGGATGATTGGGGGCAGAGGCCGAAGCCTCCTCCCCCGTCATTCTAGACGGGTGCAATAAACGTTATTTCTTTCTCTCTCTCTCTACCAGTAAATAAAATGAAACCGGGCTGGCCGTCAAACAACGGCTCGGGACACATGGCATTGGCGATAAATTTTATATGACGAAATGCGAGGTTTAAATACATTTGTGTTACACGCGCTCATTTTCCGTTTGCTTCGCTCTCAAAGTCATGCGAATTGAAATATGTGTGAGCGAAATTTTCACAGGAACTCGTATAATGTAAATTTCTACCCTAAGCAACATTGTTCCGAGGATAGTCTCCAAGTGTCCTACTTGTATTTGCCACAAAGTATCAGTAATTAGAAACCTAATTAGGATCACAAACAATTACAAAAGAAGACTGCGATAATCAATATTCACCTTGTAGATGAAAATATAGACTCTCGTATTGAAACTATAGAGTCATGACCAACTCAAAAGGCCTAACGTCAAGATTTCGCTCATACTAAAAATTTTAAGAAAACGTGGCATAGCAAGCAATGTGCAATGAAAAGAACGATAAGCAAGGCCTAAGTGTCACTTACTTGTTCTGTAAGTAATCCATTGGGGCAGTCCTTTAGAAAGCCTTTGTACCTGAAATGTAAGAGACCAACGCATATATAAGAAAACATTACAAACATATGTCAATAGTCTTGTGACGCTCACGTTGCATGAGAAACATTCTGCGTTCGTTTCTTGTTTACAACTGCTACAGTAGTGGCATGACAACAGGACAAGATGAACAATAACCTACGTTGTTTCCTTTGCGTTGCACGCTTATATTAAATTTAAATCAAAATAAGACGCATTTCGAACCTCTTTTTTTTTCTTTCAGAAGTATATCCATCCTAACCATTTTTTCAGAGAATATGTAATTTTTTTTCAACTTTTCAATAAAATTTTTGCATACCATTTGTTACCAAACATTGTACGAATTTTTATAGCCTGCTTAATCAAACGAGGTGGCACAAAGATTGCGACGGACGAACGAGTGAAATCTTGAAGCCTAAAATATTGTTGAACGCTGATGTTTAAAATATTGTTAGAAAAGTGTGCTTTGTCGAGTCACTTGTGTTTTTAGTGAAGTTGCGTGTTCTTCGTAAGCAGTAAGTAGTCATTTGCACGTTTTAGCAGCTGTAGAAACACACTTTCACCACGTGAAATCCACACGATGTGTTTCTAGATTATGGCAAGACCTGGCTGAAAAGCAGCGTTAGTATAGTACGTAGCCTATCTGTAATTCCCATCAAACCTTACCCAGTAACTAATGATACAGAGAACTCTGCAGAGATGTGAAAACGAAAGAATTAGAGCGGTATGAAAAAAATACATCATCTACCGCTAAAGGGACCCATGTGCAGATGCGTAGCAGCCGGCGCTGACGCTTACACTGGCGGCGGCGTTGACGCTAGCTTTCATCGTGGCATTGTGCAGGAGAGGAGGAGAAGGAAGAGAAACGTTTATTTGGCGCCATATAGAAGAAGCTGATGTTCAGCTTGCGAGAGTACACTGTTGGTCATGCAGCCTGCCGACCTTCGTCTCTGGCGGCTGCCTCTGCCCGCTCCGTGACTCACACTTGTGTTTCCGGCTCGGAGTTGAGAAGCGTGCTCTCCCACTGCTGAGGAGTATGCGCAAACTGAAGATTGTGAAGTTGCTGTTATTTAGGACTGCCACAGGGGATAACGTAAGGATTTGCGCGCTCTCTTTGGCAGAGTTTACAACAGCGGGAGTAAACTGGGGGGGTTAATTTGTGATAAAATAAATGGGGTAGCGAAGGCATTTGTTTGTAGCTGCCTTCAAATTACCTGGGGAGGCGCAAAGCGCGCAGTGGTGGACTGGTGTATTCTACTAGGACATGCTGATTACTGCTAATGGGCAATGAGAGACAGAAGACTCCGGTCGGACACACAGACCCGCAGCCCGCTTTTGGTAAAGCGCACGCTGCGAATTAATATTTTTCAACAACACACACGAAAAATCACCCACCGGCACTGCCTTGGGGGTCAAGATCCAGTGCCTATATACAAGGTGTGGCCAGTGAACAGTTGTTCAGCTCGAGCAGTCAGTTTTTCAAATCAAGAAACTTACTAGCAGCCGCTGCCTGCATCGGCGTTGCGAGGCGAGAGAGGAGAGTGTATAGGAGAGGAGATGGAGGAGGGGACGCGCATGCGCAGTGGAGCGCAGATGCCAGCGAAACAAGCTCACTTATCAGATGCTTCGCATCTAAAAATTGCTTCCAGAACTCAAGTGCTACGCGTCACAAACACGTTGGTTGGACACACTGAATGCATCGTCACACAAGAAAAGTGCCACCTGGAAAACGAGTGCTCCCCCGCCTGCTTCAAAGTAGTGCGGATTAACAAGGCAAATGAAGATGAAGACTGCCCAACGTCAAGAGTTAAGTATAAGGAAATAGACATAAACAAACAGAAACATGTTGCGAAGCCGGTGGAAGTTACATTTCTTGCTTTTGTTAGAACTATCGCGTCTCTTGTATAGCTTTAGAAGATCTAGGCAGGAAAAACATCCGTTTCTTATTACACGACAGCCTAACTCGCATGTGTGAAACTCTTAAAAAACAGGAATTGCTTCGATATATGGGACAATCTAATACACATATTTTAAGGAAGTTATTGGTACTGCGATGTGAATTTAGGCGCACAAGTTGCTTTCACGACACTGCCTAGAGACAAAGTGAAGAATGCGCTTTCACGGCAATAAGCGGCTTTTATATTATTGATAACAATAATTTCGTCATCTTATACGGTTTTCGTTGGCGATATAGAGATATATGCCGGAGCTAGTTCAACGCGAGGAAATGTAGTATCGATGTTCGCAGCGCCTCTAAATCTTCACATGCACTTGTTCACGCTCGTTGAGCACCGGAGCGCTAAGTCAACCTTGTTTTGCATCATTACATACTTAGCACACTACTTGGTACGCCGTGCCGCTGTAAGGCTTCCTTACCCCAAGTTTGAGTGTATTGGTTATCACCAGCTATATATGGAAAAGAGCAAGTTATTAAGTTTTACAGCATCAATCGCGTTACCAAAGAAAGCGGGGAAGCGAGCGGTGATCCCGCACAACGAGCAAGCGATGCAAAGACGGAGAATCGTATTAGAAAGCGCGTGACGGCTAGCGGTAGTTTTCTACTCACCCCGCGCGGTGTTTTCCTGTTTACAGAGCTCGGTAACTTCCCAATGCACACGCGGGAAAGTTTTCGTCTCTGAGAAAAATACAAAAGGATGATTACAACTCACCTATGTTTTTATATCAAGCGTTCTCGCCAATTTTTTTTTTGGTATAGACGTAGATTTTCCGGTACATGGCCGCTACAGTATCCTTGTGATCTAAAACAGCTGGATAAAATGCGTAACTTGATTTCCCGAGTTTATATATATATATATATATATATATATATATATATATATATATATATATATATATATATATTCGGGTTCAATTGTGTGTAGCGTGTTTTTTTTTCTAGAATAGCCAAACTTGAAAGCCGAAAAGAGCTAAATTTTACTGGATTGTAAAGCTCTCTTAAGTATCTCTTAGTTTTGAAATAATTGCAATCGAAATGAGCCAACCCCTAATCTTAACATCAACTGAAATAAACAGCTTTGAATGAAAAATAAGACCAATCATATACTTGTTTCGAACTGAGCCAGGTCCTATAGACTAGCCCATTGTCAACAATCATGACCAAATCAACCAACATGGTCACATCCAAACTGTTTCATTTGTGTCATATAGTTGCTTTGCTATCATTTTTTCACTCATTAATCAGTTGTTTTACATGCGTCAGTTTGTACTCACTGAAGGACATGATGTAAGGAGTTGAGTATAAAAAGTAAAAGGCTGACTTTCCTACTTCTTTCTGCCTCTTGGGTGTACTTTTTTAGTTTCGCGTGACAGTATATCATGTACTTCCTATGTCCAAGGTAGTATACTTTAAAAAAAATACAAGTGAAATGAAGATCTTTGACACCGACCTATTCCTTAAAAAGGAGAAGTGATCCGAAAGAGTGTAACATAAATCACCTAAGAAGAAGACGAGCTGAAGTTCTTTGAGGCCCTGCAGTAGATGCCGAAACGAAGAGCACGCTTCCGACAGTCCAAAATGGTGCGCCTAAAATGGCTCGCTTTTTGCAAGAAAAGACCACTCGCTCTTCAAGTCTAGTCATCACCATTACGCTCAAGCAACAAATGACGGCACCGACGGAAGCACAAGGATGGTGTTAATTTTGTTATTGCTTAATACTGCCATATCGTTCATTCACTGCGATTTAGCTTCTTTGACTAGCTAATTCAAGCCCAAACAAACTACTACTACTACTACTAATATTAATAATAATAATAATAATAATAATAATAATAATAATAATAATAATAATAATAATACGGTGTTTTACATCCTATTACCACGATATAATTATCAGAGACACCGCAGTGGAGGGCACTAGAAATTTCGACCACCTGGTGTTCTTTAACGTGCACTGACATCACACAGTACACGGGCTTCGACTATTTCGCCTCCACCGAAATGCGACTGCCACGACCGGGACCGAACCACGACTTTTGGGTGAGCAGCTGAGCTCGTTATCCACTGATTCACCACGGTGGACCGTAAACTAAATGTTACTGTCTGTAACAACCAAATACAAACTTGACTCCTGAACACCGATGATAATGGGCTATATAGATTTTAGCCGGAAACTATGGTTCAGGTATTTTGGTGAGCTAAGCGAAACGGCAAAATAGTGTTAGAGCAGGTCTCACACAATATCATATATACATATATATATATATATATATATATATATATATATATATATATATATATATATATATATATATTCAGTAGCAAAAAAGAGAAAAGAAAGAAAGAAACGCTTCATATATTCTATTTCACGAGTGTATTTTGGTGCCGTCCTCTCGGACCATAAACTTGTCGTTTTATACCTTTTAACGTCTAAACCAACAATGATACGAACTAGACTATGTCCATCGACTGTGTTCATGCGTTGTAAGCTCTAAAATTTCTATATATGTACAGTCTGTTTCACACTTAGGTGAAATCTCGAAGCGCCTGTGTCCCAAACGTCGAGCATTCTCGACCGCGCGCCCCTAACGACTCGGCAACGGCGCCACCGCGTCTTCCCCGCAGCGAAAGGGACACGTATGTTTTCCGGGGAAATGACCTCAAGGGGATGTGAACACGCCGAAGAAATCTTTACTGCTTCGGCTGTTGACGTTCAACCAACGAGAAGCGCTGTCGTCGACGTCGCGAGTGTCACGTAGGTGTAAGTGGTTCCAAAAAGAGAGAGAAGATGATAAAAGTGAGCCCCGTAACTGTCTGCATCATCGTGCGACACCTCAAAAGTAGCTCACGAGGGATGGGGCTAAGGAGAGATTAAAAGGGATAGGGAGGATTAAAGGGATGGGGATAGAGATGAGGACATCCATATACAGAAGTCAAGGGAAGATAAGACAGGTGGACACGGTCGCAGGAGTCCGAGAACGGGGCACCACTCAGCGAGAGCTTTTGTCGGCGTCAGGAGATGGCGCAGGGCGAGCCAGTCGGCCAG